AACTGTAACCATACTTAACTGAAGACATGCAAACATGATGCTTTTAGAAATAATGTAAATTGATTTTGACTTGTACCAGTTACAATGACGACTTTCTTTGGGAACTTGGAAGGAAAAAACATGAAAAAATATAATCTGATAGCCCAGAGCTGGGGTGTTATCACAAATGATGATTTACACCTCAGAGGGTTAAAAACAAATGGCAGAGTACAAAAACGTGAAGGAAATCTGTTCAAATACTTTCCAGATATTGATTGCTTGGCTGTAAATTTAAAAATCTATAAACATCCCCTCCTGTGACTTGCGAGGCTTCACCTGTTCTTATTCTTATCAAAAATGATCTTAATCTAGTGTTAGATTAACAGAGATCTGACTGATGCCAAGGAATCATCAGGAGTGCAGCTCTAAAAATATCGTTGACGTGACATTAATTTATAATCTTCTGTCTTACCCTCGAGCAGACGCCATATTTATTTTATTCTTTAACAGTCTGTCAGAACCGGCACGAGCACATAGCCATAAACCATCAATTGACATTATCTGCAGTAAATCTATGTACAGTTTTCAACAACACGTCGGCGGCAAAAATCACTGTTGTAGAGTCTGTTCATGTAGAAGAGATGAACTCTGAGATTTCTGAAAAGATAACTCCCAAACTCAAATCCAGTGGAAAAACTAAACCAGTGAGTCAGTACTGTAAAGGTTTTTCCTGTGAATGCACGTTTTAAATATTGCACTCGTTGTAGTCATTATTAATAAATGTGTATAAATAGGTCCCAACATAGGAGCTATTTACTTCTGTTTGAGTGAAGTTTGCAAAAACTAAACCGACTAGTTGTTACAGAAAACATAAAATCACGTCTCGCTTGAACTCTATGACCTGCTGTATCTCAAGACCCCATTTGTAGACTCAAAAATGCTGTTTTGCTAATCTTACTGTGACTTGTGTGGCTCTGCATAAATGCTGTTTACATGTTAAAGCAATGTAAGTTGTCTGACATGAAAAAATATTGTCCCACCCTCAAAGGAGTGTTTTCTTACTGTTTTAAAGTGGACAATGGTCAGCTGGCAAAAAATTCTGCTGAGCATTAAACTGTTGTCTGTTGAAACCACAGACTTGCAATCCAACGTCAACATTTTTTTTGCAGCTGTCCCATATATACAGAACATGTCGTTCCCCCTGAAACCCACAGCGTGAAGACTAAACACAAGACAAGGAACTCAAGGAACAGGTTATATTCTTTAAAAACAGTCATTTCATATGTTTATGCTGTTAATGCTTTCAATAAGCAAGGGTACTGAAAATGCCCCTTTTCCATGTACAAGGTGCCCAAGCTAAATCTAGAACCAGTTCCACGCATTCCCACTGACAAAACTACAGTTAGCACAAACGTGTTGGGCCCAGCTATGAATTGCTGACTCAGCAGTTATGTTCTTTCCACAGAAATGTGCCCAAGTTATCCTGCCTAACGCTGTGTAGCATTCAGTTTTCATTTCCTGTGAAATGCAGGCTGGTTTTCAAAAGGCACAAATGGCTCTGCATCAGCACCACATCGATGGGGAAACAGGCCAAAGAGGGATCATATTGCCACTATATTAGCATCTCTTCATTGGCTCACTATCAAATCCAGAATTGAATTCAAAATTTTTCTCCCTATATGCAAAGCCCTGAAGACTTTAAGCTATCAAAGACCCTCCACTATCATATTTGTTATATTATCATGTTATTAGAGCACTCTGCTCTAAGACTCCATGCTGGCTTGTGTTTCAAAAAGCTTTGAAGAGCCCCTCTCCAGTAGACCCAGCTCCCAAGGTGGATTCAGGAGACAGACGCATTGTCTTCTTTTAAAATGAGCCTTCAAAATTGCTTTAACCCGGGCTTAACCCTTGCTGCTGTAACGCTTCTATGGGCTCAGGCTGCTGGGATACTCCCTCTTTATCACATGCGGTGCATTTGCTGTGTATGCCACATCCACATGCATGTCCACATTTTCTCTTCTTCCTGCTGCGGTTGCAGTTTACCGTTTCTCTTTCTCCCCACTCCAGTCAGCCGATGCAGGCAGCTGCTCCACCCTGAGCCTAGATCTGCTGGGGCTTTCTTCCTCTTTAAAGGGTTTTTTCTCCACACTGTTGCCAAATGCATAGTTGTGTATCTTGACATTAATCGTGTGTTTTGATGCTGTATAAATTAAACTTAAAAGAAGGCAATTAAAATAAAACAATGGAACATTAAGGACATGACTCATTATGTTGAAGGGTGCTGTTTGGACAACAACTACAGAGGTATTGCCTATTTTATATACAACAGAGTTAAAAGAAGATGAATAAAACATGCATGTTAGCATTAGCTGATAGATTCTTAGTAAAGGCATGAGGAACTTCTCTATAGCATTATAGCACAGACTACTGTGTCTTTGTATGTTAAAGTGCAGCACAAACAGTAGTTGTGTTTTCCTTTTCCTGAAAGTAAAAGTTTATGGATTAAAGGAAACTGATTAAAAGCTGCAGGAGGCACAGAAAACAACTTATCATGTACTGTGCTGAGGCATTAGTGGACCTGCATGGTGAGAGATTAACAGCTGCTTATGGCTTTATGTTACAAAACAATGTCAAACACCCACACAAATACAACTGCACGCAAGTGCATATAACACAGTGTTCTGAGTATTAGAAAGGATTTTCAGAGAAGCCTCGTTGTAAAAACACCTTGGCAAACTCCACAGGGAGGTCATTCACATAACAGCAGCCCTGCAGGGATTCAGTGTTTTGCTCAAGGACACTTGAGCAGGGTGGACCCAGTCTGTTCTACCTTTGTTACTGCAGGTCTCCCACCCTGCAGCCTAAGCAGGGATTGAGCCAGGAGTCAAATAGCCTCTTTGTTTTCTGCACAGTTTTACACTGCAGACCTGAAATTATCAACCGGTTTCTATTCTTTTAATCTTGGGGTAATAGTTGCTGGTTGCATTTTTGTCAGTGTGATGAGTTTATATTTATTGCAATAAAAATAAATTCTACGCCAAGTAAAACAACTTAAATTGGTGATTGAAAATTAAAATGTCATTTATACTGATTTCAAAACATTTTGCAAGCAATTATTAGTTCACAGGGGAAACAAGCAGGTTATGTGTGTCTGAACTGTGTTAATGTTGCTAACTCTAAACTATGAACCTCCACTTCATCAAGCCTCAGGCTTTACCCAATATGAACTTGGTATCAAATTGCGCCCTCTTCTGACGAACTCTAGAAAGTGCAAAATAAACAGTTTTGCAAACAGTATGCAGGTCGAGATTTGCGCAGTAACAAATTATTACACTGGTTAGACGACAAGGCCAACTGAACTGATAGAGCAATAGTTTGTGAGTCAGAGAAACCACTCAGGATTTATCAGCAAACAGCATTTTTTATTATTTTGATTTAGTTCAAAAGAAAGAAGCAAAGTCAGAGGAGTCTTAAATTGTTTTTCATTAAGTATTTATTGTTGTTCATCCTGTGGACCATCCTTCTAACTGAGCAGAAAGTAAACTGAAGCTTCGGTTTGCTGAGAATAAAAACAGACTTGAGGTTTCCTTTAATAAGTGTCCTGACTGTCAGGTTTTTTTTTTTTTTAAAAAAAGAGAGAGAATATGTACATTTTCATGCTTGTGCAAAAGCAAAGGTTGCAAAGGTATAAATACAATGGCTGAGTTGTCATTTGTTTAATTTACAACATCATGTGTCGCAGTTATATACAGAGTATAAATACAAGAGTAAATGATAAGTTTAACATTCAGTTTGAACCTCAGATGACAAAATGTAAAAATAGTTCTGTGAACCAGAACCACTGATGATGAAGTTGGCTTTAGTTTTATAATACACTTAATAAACACTTAAAACTCTTAATGTTCTCTATGTGTGAGACACTTTCTCCAGTTCCACTAAGTTAATATAAATAATGCTACTATTAAAACAACACCGAGTTGAAAGCCATCTTAAAATGATCAGAATACAAAAATCACAAAATATAAATATATTATAACATGCGTGAAACATTTTATAGCCTCTGGTTTTGATTTAACCTAATAAATATCTGAATGTTTAATATCTGTAAGGCACCGCGTGAACAGGAATTTTGACCTTTCGGTTGGTTAATCTTCTTGAACAGCAGCCTGCCAAAGAGAAAACTGTTAAACTGCTCTGAAAATAAACAGAGACTAGATGCCTCTGTGCACTGAGCATGCTCGAGGTCTAATGCTGAAGTCCAAGTTTGTCAAGATCTATGTCAAGTTCAACCTGTAGATCAAAACGATGCAGTATTGTGACACAACTTCCTATTTGTCGTTGGTTTTGATTGGCTATAATAGACTAAAAATCTTTGGAAAAGAAAAAAAAATCTATACAATAACTTTGGTAAAGCTTGGTTTGCAGTCCACTTGTGTGAATTCTGGATAAAGTTTACAGGGAAAATCTAATGTGATAGATTTTTTCAGCTTGATCCAAAGAAACCTAATGCTAACTCATTTGTAATTTATCACAAACACGTCCAACTCTGACCTTCAAGTGGCTACATAGTGTTAAAAACCCAGAAAACAATAAAATGAAATAGGTTCCTTCATTTACCAACCTGCTTGGCAACTTTAGGGGAAATTGGCCAGTTGGTTTCTACATAATCCTCCTGACAGAGGGAAAAACTACAAATACATAACTTCCTTCACAAAGATTTAAAAAAAAAATTTAAAAAGGAAAAACTTTGTCCAACAATGGAAAAATATCTTACTGTTGACATACTGTACAGTTAGCCCCTATTTTATTACCTGCGTTCAAACATATTCCAGCTGCTGCAGATCCTCTGACCCACACCTGAGTGTCGATCAAGTTTAAGCCCAGTTCCCATCATTGCGTATCATCGTATTTCCTGTCCATTAAAGCATCCCCGCCATCAAAATAATCTTCTATCGGGGCTTTCCCACTGTGATGGTGAAATCTTCAACCGCAGTTTTGTTTTCGGGGTATTTTGACTCCTCTGAGCTGCAGACACTAACGTCAAAAACACGGTTGGAGGTATGGCTCAGTCACACGCTGTTACCACATGTGTGTTCACACTTACATAAACACTAAATGTGTTCAAAACCTTCATTAAAGTGAACTTTGATGCATTTTGGATTGAAAAATTCTCCAGCAGAACATGAGCTCACTTTCCCTGTTTCAGTCTTGAGTTTTCCTTCATTAAATGATAAAATAAGTTCTGTTAGTATTTCTAATCTTAACTTCATAGAAGACAGGAGAAGCTGCCCAGGTTGGTCATACTTCATGTAAACTTTGAGCTTCTTTGCATTCCTTCATATCCCGGTGATGCAGATTGCTTTTCTCCTCAAATATGGATCTTCCCTTCATTATCCAGGATTTGTTTGAACAGAGGGAATTCAGTGAGAACTTGCACTCTGACTATAAAACATTCCTAATTTCAGTCCTTCTGCCTCTTTACTCCACCTTCCAGATGGCGATCTTCCCATCATGTTTTCCAGCTCCACTGAGGACGTAGCGGTCCTCAGCTGAGCACAGCCCTGTCACTTTGTCGGTATGGCCGTGAAGCTCCTTCAGGACCTGGTACCGCTCTGTGTCCAGGATGTAAACCTTCCCTTTGGTTGAACTGCGGCCCATGCCACCAACCCACACCTACACAGCAAAGAGGCTAGTTAATTTGGTTAAATGTCAAATAGTTTCTCAAGCATCAGTTAAGATTAACATTTGTTAACAACCGGGGGAAAGTGGGGCAAGATGAGCAGGTGGGGCCAAATTGATCCTAAACAATTATACACTAATTTTTCTGTTTTTGCTAGCAAAGGAGCAGTCTTAGATAACGTATTAGAGTTGACGCTGTCATGTGACATCACGTGTCACAGCTGAGACCAAAGTGGAGGCGCTTAGCTATGATGCACAGGTGAAAACTAAACACAGCATATGAGCACAGACACCTCATACCAACTGTGAAGCATGGTGATTTGGGCTTGTTTTGCATCACCAGGACTTGGGTACCTTGCAGTCTTTGCAGCTGACCACAAAATTCTGTGTATGCCAAAGTATTCCAGAGTCAAATGTGAGGCCGACAGTCTGACAGCTAAAGCTTAGCTGAAACTGTTGTGCACCAATACAATGATCAAAGGTGTCGCCGTGTCAAAGCCCAGACCTCAATCTCACTGAAATGCTGTGGTGGGACATTAAGAGAGCTGCCAGCAAATGGATGACCTGCAGGAACGCTATAAAGAAGAGTGGACCATTTCCTCTGGCTTACCCTGTCACAGTGAGATAAGCTTTAGCCTCCAAAACGTTTGCTTTGTCAGCAAACATTTTGGGCTACAGTTGTCCAAGTAACCTTCTCTCATGTCGATTGCAGCTATTTCAATCAGTTGTCCTGAACTTGAGAAATGCTGAACTTAGAAACCACCCACTTTCTGTTTCCAGCAATTATTTTGCCCAATTTTTCTTGAAGTTGCTGAATGTCATTAACTTTTTATGGTGAGTGGATGGGGGCTTTGTGTGGATGGAGCTTTGCTCCTCATAAGGGCAAGTAGATCTTTATTTGTGCCTTATATTGTTTTTAATGATCTGCTTCTGCTGCTATGGTTTGAATAACAGCTAAGATCCTGAAGCCGTATTATACCCATTTTATTCTTGTGTTGTATTCATGATTGAAAGGCTAACTTCACTAAAGAATTTCTTACATTGCCCCACTCTCCCCTAAGCTCCAATTGCAACTAGTTAACTTCTCTTAGAATTTAACAAATTAAAGAAGGACTAAAACAAATAAAAATAAAACAAAAACATTGTATTTTGAATGTTCAAATGTGAAAGATTAGCACTTCTGAGGCTCACTGATTATCATATTAACATCAACCATAAATATAAGAATATTTTCCATATTGCTCTGTACGTGTGTGTGTGTGTATTAACCTGGTTTTTAACTTTAATTATGCAGTAGCATCCGGTGCAGTCCTGTAGAGTGATGCGGTGGAACGGTTTGCTGCAGTCTTTAATGTGCCAAATAGACACCTCTCCAGAATCTGCACACACACTCCACATTTCCTCCCGCTGACACGAAAACACATCAGGTGAAACGGGGTCACTCTTACAAAATGAAAATACATTTATTAAAGAAAAACAATATTAAGAGCAAAATGTGTGTTTGTACCTCTGGTAAGATCAGAGCACAGCTGAAAGTAGTTGTGGAGCCTTTTTGTTGTTCTGGTAAATTCATGCAACGTTTTAATGAACCATTCCTCCACACCTCCATTATCTTGTCTCTGGAGCCTTAAACCAGACCAGAGGGAAAGACGGAAAGAGAGGGTATTCAGTTTACATCATCAAAGTCTCAGATTTTCCATTTTTTCAACTGTCCAGTGTGAAGGAAACTTACAACACCAAAGCGTGCCGCTGCAGCTGTAAACGGACTGCAGATGGCCGCAGGAGAGGCGGAAGTGCTTCTTCACCTGAAGGAAAAGTAAAAGTCAAACAAGCTGAAAGAGAAATGCAAACAGGTGTGAACAATGGTTGATATTAAACTAACCTGCAATGTGGAGACCTCCCACATCATGACTGTCCCCTCTGCACTGCAGGAGTACGCCACCTTTTGGCTGAACAACAAAGCAGGCTGGTAAAATTATTTTTAATGTACATTTCAAGAACAGAGTGGATTAGGCACAAACATTTCCATTCCTTGAATACAACTTTAATTACCTAACAATAATGATAATACTGCTGAAACAACCAGTCGACTTATGATATTGTTATTCATCTGAATAAGAATAGTATACAAGTTCAAGAAATTCATCAAACAAATTGAATGCTTTTATGTTACTGATCGCTTATTTGCTGTTTTTCTTAACTTTCTGTTTCAAAGTTAATTTCTTTAATCTGCGAATTTATGACTGAAATTATTGACTGTTTGATTAGAATACACAAACAGAAACTGGGTGTTCCCTCGATCAGAAAACTCAGCTTAGAAGTTGGTACACATACATATCATATTGGCAGTGATGAATAAACTTCTTTATAAAGCCTCCATGAGAATACTGGAGGTTTAAGGGTCGAAACAGCAGAGTGACAGCAAGAACAGCACATTAGAATGAGAGAGGAGACAATTTGCAGCTTTAGCAGAAAATCTGGGAAGATGTGTTTGGTATGTGATGTGAGGACAGCGAGGCAGTGCGGCCCAAGTTCCCTGGACTACCGCAAAGCTCGACTAACTGGCGATCACACTACTGATCAGAAATATGTTTAAAGTGTCTGAAATGAAGCGCCCAACTACAACATACATCTGCAAGCTATACTAATTGTGCCAAAAAAAAATTGATTTTTTTTTTTTTTTTTAAGGGGGGGGTGGAGGGATGATTGTGTATTTTTGTTGTGGCTGTTGTTCTGCGTTACCTGTATTTGTCTTTGTCGACCGCCAGTCCTGTGACCTCTGCCCTGTGCTCAGTCAGCTGTCTGTTACACACCATGGCCACTATGCTGATGATGTAGATCACAGAGTCCTCAGAGCCCATCCACACCTGATCTTTGTCAACCTCCAACATGCAGTTCTGAAACCAGAAACATGTTTCTGAGCACGAGTCCACAGGTATTACAACAATTTCAGCTTTACACATTTTTTACCTGGAACTTCAAAATTTTCTACCTGGGTAACAAAAAAAACCCAACAACTCAGTCAATTAATTCTAAAGCTCCTTTCAGCTGCTCCCATATTCACAATGGGGTCGCCACAGCAGGTGTCTTTGCATATTTTTAATGTCAGAAGCTCTTCCAGTTGAGCTGCTAAGAGCTTCATGCAGGACGCAATACTCAGCATGTCCACTAGGTGGCGAAATTGTTCTAATAAACTACTGAAACACTACCTGACAAACATTACTTCTAATATCAAGTACCTCTGTGTTACAGAATGTGCAAATAGATTTGGAAGTTACAGCTAAAAATTATGAATAGAAAAAATGTTTAAATTACTTTATCTACAATAATTTCATGATATTTTCTCAACAGCTGTTTTCACGCTGCTGGTGAAAGTTAGAAATCGTCATGCCAGTGTTTTATAAGTGAAAACACATACTCCGCCCATCTCTGTCTCACACTTCCAACATGTTTCATGTAACTGAACTGCACAGTTGAAGTAAGGGTTAGACTTAAGAAGTGTCTTAAAACCTCACAAATCCTTTCTCCTGGAGAAAATGTTTATGAAGCTCGACCACTGGCTGGTGCTTCCAACCCTCCAGCCAGCTATCACTGGAAAATGCTTTGTTCTTTGAGGGAATGTAAGCTATTCAAAACACACTGGATTCCCAACGATTTCATGTTGAAAGATAATGTTTGAAGTGAAGCCAGAGAAGGAGAAACAAAAACCACTTAATATATATACTTAATATGTACCTGATGTCTGTGGTGTGCTTATCTGCTGATTTAGTTCAGCGATGAGCAAACATCTGGCCAGGTGTTTTTATTTAGTGGTGGAAAAAAGACTACTAGTAGAGGTTTAGAGAAGCCAGTTTAACATGTAGAGGGTTAACTGTGTGAAAGGATCAAATTTGAATATTTACTACTGCTTTTTTGGGTCTTTTCTTTTGATTTTCATGCATAGCACAGTAGTGCAGTCTATGGTACTGTTATATCACAGCAAGACAGTCCCAGGTTCAAATCCACTGACACAACTGGTCAGTGGATTTGAACTGTGTGGAGTTGGAAAGTTTTCCCTCTCCCTCCAATACTCCAGTCTCCTCCCACAATCCAAATACATGCAGGTTAGGCTAACTGGTGAATCTGGTCAGGAATGTCTGATTGCCTGTGTGTTTTAGCCCTTAGCCAAGCAACGTGTCCATAGCGTACTCCTCCTTTTTGCCTTGTCACATCTGGGACAGGCATCAGCCAACCCATATAACTGAATATAAATATTTTCATGAATAAAAATAAAATTGTAACTGTGTTAAGGGTGGACCTACAATGTTCATTTCCAGCTCCATGTTGTATTTACATTAGAGCTTAACTGCTGTAGTTCTAAAGTTTAAAAAAATCAATTTCATCCGTTGTCTTAAACAAGATGTTTTAGCTTTCTTCTGATTGGTTGCCCTTTCAAAATAAAGTTTTGAACAGCAGATGGGTGGAGTTTTTGCGCTGATAACCCGAGTCATGCACCAGACGTTAAGTAAAAATGTCTGGAAACAATCATTTAGAGCAGTCTGAGCCTGATTATTCGTTTCATGTGTTCCTCTCACCAGTCTGGCATTCCCAACATGGCAGGTATGTGTGAGGGACCAGCTGGAGGCATCAAACACCATCACCTTCCCCTTATTTACCGATACCCATAATTGACCTGAAATAGAAAAAACACACACACACACACAGAGTTTATCAGTTATTTCTCAACACCCTATCATTACACTTGGCCTGCAGTGAATATTACTTTTACAGATTTCTATGTCTTCTACTCCAGTGGCTACTTAGGAGTTTTCTTCCAGTGAAGGGAAACACTTCATGTCAACGTTATTTTGCAGCTCGACTCCACCCAACCAATCCAACGGTCAGATTTCTCCCAACGGATTCAGCACTTTTAAAAAAATGCCCCAGCTCATGGGGAAGAAAAAAAAAGTAACATCCTGTGTTTTTACGTCAAGGAGCAGAAAAGGGCAGTGGAACAGAAGGTAAGAGGACTTATGAAGTGAAAAAGTTAGAAAAAGAAAAAAGTGTGGTGAGAACAGAGGGGAGAGGAGAGGGGGTGTGAACCGGATCTGTGCCAGGAACTCAATTCAGTGACCTATATTCAAACCGGAGAGGGAGAAAGAGTCCGAGAGGGCCGGGGAGGGAGGACCTGAATGGCCAGATTTGTTCTTTTTCACCAGCAGAAATCCCAAAGAGCAGCAGACTGCTACAGAAGAACTGAAATGTGTTTGTTAATGTGTGGATCACTGAGTGTGACTGTGCTAGTGGCAGGGGTTAGTCTGCCACCAGCATGTATTTAAGTGGACCCAGATGGCTGCCTGCTTAAGGCCACTGAATGGCTCTGTGGATCTTTTTTTAAAGCTTTTCACTCACGGTCTTCCTGCCATATAATGTGCCAGGCTGTCGGTGCCCCAGGATAAAAATCAAGGATGCACTAAACAACTAAGGCCACAAATAATAACCACAATTCATAGGTGACATATTAAAGGAAGAAAAGAAATAAATAAACCACAAACTACAAAAAGATAGTTTCACTTCCTTGGCAGTTACTCTTCTATTGCTTTACACTAATATAAGGATGAATATCATTAAATATATATATATATTCTATGTTATTTAATGTTTTTCCGGTGTGGTGGAACGCACAGTTTACTGTGTCTTCTTAGGTGTTTAAATCAGGTGACTGTGAAGGCCATAAAATGATCTGCATTCTCATCAAATCACTCATCCCTTTGGCCTGTCAGGATCAAGCCGCCAGCCAACAACAGTCCACAGGTCACGTCCAGACAGAGACTTTTATTACACAAACTCTCTTCCCCTTGTTTACAGTCAACAACTAATTAGGACAGAAAAAAAGCCCTAAAGTAATTACTTAAAAAAAACAACCTTCTGCATAGGGCTGTGCGATATGACCAAAATCTCATATCCCAATATAAGAATTCTATCGTCCGATAACGATATAAATCACAAAAATGTAACATTTTCTGTAAATTCTGTGAATCTCGGCAGCTCGACTTGCGGGAAATGTTTCCAGCTGCGCATCATGTAGCTGGAGTCGAGTGTTTTAACCAATGACTGTATAACCGATGCATGAAACTATACATTTTTAGACATAAGTTGTAACGGCCGCCGTTTTCTTTGTGAGTATTTATTACACAGCGTGCTGCGGGGAAAAGCCTGTTCTAACGTTTGAGTCTAAGGTTTATTTTTTAGCACATGGCGGCTCTTTTTTTAATTCTCATCCGTAAATAATCTGCTCTTTCACGTGATTCAGTTTATTTTGAAAAGTCTCAACAGGATCTTGAGCTTTATTGTGAAAGGTTTATGTGGAACATAAACAAGCGGACACGCGATGCTGTTACCGTCGTTGTTGCTAACGACAAGCGCTTGTCCGTCTGTAGTGTGGTTATATAAACTATAAGAGAAAGAGAGAACTTTAAGAAATTAATATAGCCACTACAGTGACCATCAAAATGATGAAAAAATATTGCCGTAAACAGTTTATTTTGTGACACCATGAATCAAACAGCCCTACTTCTGCAGTCCTTACATTTCTTCATAACTTATGTCAGTGTCTGTTCTTTATACTTCCTTTTAGAAAGAAGTAGAGTCTTTTTTAAATTGACAGAATTATGAGAGAAAAGAAGTACCCTGAGACTTTTACACCCTGAAATATTAACAGCTTACTTTTTCAGCATGACAATGATCCCAGACACACTGCCAACGCAATTCAAGCAAACCTTGATAAAACAAAAACAAAAAAAACCCAAAAACCATTTGCACACCCTCAGTCATGGCCTCCCCAGGATCCAGACAGCCCATACAACCATTCCAACTGCAGTTTTGTAATCACTATGTAAAGCACTTATCCTCTGCTTTCCTATGATTTCACAGCTCACAATAAAAAGAAGAGAGTCCACATATTTATGACCATTTATTTAAGAGATTGAGAGGTTTCCTTCCCAGCATGTTTTTAAATATCTTGCAATTTCTTTTGCCGTTTACTGTAATATAAGACTGGGGAGGAAGTGTGGTTGAGGAACTTTATTGCATCTGCATGTTTTTTTATGTCAGTGTGTGCCACAGTGATGACAGATAAACGCCAGGTTGTTGTTTTTTTTGTGCATTAGTCAACATATATGTCAGTGCATGTGCGTTAGTGTCACAGTTAGAATGGGAAATTGCTCTGCTGCTCCAAAGAGCCAATCACATCATCGACTCCCACAATGACCAATAAAAAAGGGGAAGAGGCTGAAACTTGTTGTAACAGTGTTGATGAGAAATGGTGGAGAAACTGCTCGTTTACGGGACAAGCTGTGTGTGTGTGTGTGTGTGTGTGTGTGTGTGTGTGTGTACCTGATGTGTAGAGAAGAACATCCACAGCCTGAGGTGAAGCAAGTTCCAGCGAAGGGTTAATTTTGTGCTTTAGTATCTCTGCAGTTGTCTTGGGAACCATCATTGGGACTGGAGACAAAGCAAAGAGAAGCAACTAACCTTAACCAGGTGATGAAAGCACAAACTCAAAGTGAAAGATTACTGTAGTCTCGATGAGTCATAAAGTTTCCAAACGAGCACAGTTTTATTACGCAAATATGTCCATAACCATGACAAAGCACATCTTTCTCTACCTTCCATCTTGATGCGGTCAAAGTAAGCCAGCTTAGAAGCAGCATAGATAGCCTTGCTGCTCTGAAGACTTCCCACTACTGCGTCCATTAATAAGGCATTGGTCAGAGCTTGCTGCATGTACTGGGGGTCCTGAGAGAAAGATTTATAGAGAGACAGAATTTTTTGTTAAAAAAAAAAGAGAGAAGGCGATGCTTATGGCTACGATCCATCTCAGAGGTCATACATATATTTCAGTCTTCATAATGCATTGACCAATCAAATCAAGTCAAATTAAAGATATATGGTCACTCTTTTTCAGAATGACTATATCTTAGTTTACTATTTTTTTTAGATTTATGGTCTCAATAAACTTATCACACCCAAAAATACTTATATTGACATGATATACAAATAGGACAAGCTGTAAATATAGGCAATTACAACTGAAATAATCAACGATCAAACAAGATTTACATGTGACTAAGCAGTGCTGTAGATGTTTATCCTGTCAGACAAGTTGGACAGTCATCACAGGCTGCCTGACTATAGAAACTGACAATCAAAGGAAGTGAGAAATGACAACATTTTAAATAAAGAGAAGAGAACAACAGTGAGGGGGGTAAATGTGACAGACAGATATTTTACAGTTACATCTTTTGGTTTCACAAAGGAAACCCCCTGTGTTTGTTCAAGTGTGCCTATTTGTGTTCATGTATAACTGAGGGAATTTCAACCACTCCCTCACAGAAACTGACACACACTCAAACTGATGCCTGAATAAACACGAGGTATGAATAATAAACGAGCAAGGTAACTCAATAAATTTGCCTTTGTCCTGATGAATCTTATCATTTTCCTCTATGCTCCCTCACAGCAACACTCACACAGCCTCTTCATCACAGATTTACCTTGTGCTGGTCAGCTGTGAAGCGCCCGGCCCACATCTCTTTGACCATTAGGTTCCAAAGCTCAGTCTCCGTTTTCAAATTAGCTTCAAAAGTTTCCTTCCTTCCCCGGACACGAAGCTTCAGGCCTGGGATTCGCAGGAGCATGAAGGGAGCTGAGGAGACCTTTACTTCCTAAAACAAAAAACAAAAATACACAAAGACAACATCTACTATAGATTGCCATTTCAAGTCTTATCTTACTGGGCAGAGCTGTATTTGTATCTCGGGATTTCTCTTCTTTTAATCTCACATCTAAATCTCGGTACTGTGCCACCTCCACGTATCCTGGCCGTCCATCCGTGAGCAGGAAGAGCCGTCGCTGAGTCATGGCGATTTTCCCCACTCCGCGGCTCGTCTTTACTGAAGACGACACCTTGAAGACGCACTCGTTGGCCTCAATGTGCTCCAAAACAGATGTTGGCAGACAAACCTTCAGATCAAACGAACACAAAAACCTGCATAAAGTGCCAATTTGTTCAACTACAGTGTAAACTATTGAAGCTGGTTTCTGCCACTGAAAAAACGAAAGAATCTTTTGTCATCCATTAGTCCAAAATTTCAGGTTTTTAATCTCAGAATTTTGAGTTACCACCTCATAGATCTGAGAAAATAATTCAAAATAATTGTAATTATTTGAATTTCAAGAAAATAAACTGAAATTTTAACTTAAAGAATGGCACTTTTTCCCCTTTTGCAGAAACAAAACTTAATAGTAGGTTTATAATTTAAATTATAATCTACACAGAACCGCAAATCACTGTTAATTCTCCCATCGTAATTTGTTTAAAGTAGTGTAAAGTACAGTACAGACCTCTTGTGCCTCAGCCTCAGTCTCTTTCCAGATGGTGTAAAAAACCTTGAACAAATCTGGACTGACCTGCTTCTGATGACCTGCATCAAACAAACACACACTTTCAAAACAACTGAAGAGAGTTTGTGGATAGTAGGTCTGATATATAAGTATCAGACCTACTTGGTCTGCAACAGTTTAAAACCTCATTTTAAACATCATTTAATAAAAATAATCAACTTTATTTGTAGAGAATTTATCAAAATCACTGTTATAAACATATCAAACAAATACCTAAGATACATATTAATATATGAATAAACAGGAAGGCACGATGAAAAACAATAGTTGGTTAAAATTCATAAAACACCCAGGTTCAAATCCAAAAATGTGTGTTTCATCCTCAAGCAAACAAGCTATAAGTGGCTCTATTTGTGTTTATCATATCAATAATATTTCCTCTGTCTATAGCAGATATTCCAAAAATATTCTAATGTGATTAATTATGATTTTTTAAAAATCATTTTTAAAGAGTCAGTCAGCCACGATTTACTGCAAAACATTACAATGTAGATGTTCAAATATCATCAACGCTGGCAATTTGTACCTTTAAGTAAATATGTTGCAATTAAAAGAATTAAGAGTAAAATAAAAAGAAACTTAACATTTAAGAATAAAAGTTCATACTAAAGCCTTCAGATAGGAATAAGTCTTTAAGTTGTCATAAACCCAGAATTGTGTCACAAACTCTCATAAACAGGCATCTGCTTGCTCTCTGAGTCAGCTCTGTTTCTCTTTCCAAGCATGCCTGCAGAGTGAGCGACTGTAAGTTGCAATCCCTACTGTACTCCAACAATGGCCACATACAGTGCATCACCTCTGTGCACCCCCACACCCAACCAACCACCCAGAGAGATAGGAAACTATGTTCTCACCCACTGAATCCCACACAGTCACCGCCTGACTGCCTTTTTTTATTTAACATCAATGCTTTCGTAACACGTTCTAAAATTACTACATAACCATGTGTTATGTTGTAGTCATTTTTATATAAACACCACTTTTTTAAGTGACTATACAACAGGAACTTATAATAGGAAACAGTAACTATAATACATTTACAATGCAAAAGGAGATCCAAATCCTGTTGATGTGACTCTGAATCTTATCCTCCGCAGTGAAAGTAGAAAGGAAAACCTGACATTAGCCTGTCACAACCTCCAACAGGATGTTATGACAGAAAAAAAAAAAAAAAGAAAGAAGGTGTTTTCCAAAATCCCAGTGTGCAGGCAAAGATAAGTTCTCACTGTAAGCTTCCTTCCTTCTTTTCAATCACATATGTTTTGCAAAAGCATCAGTTTTTCTCCCCCTTTCTTAGTGACACTCTTTCCCAAATTATTATTACTACTGGAACTGAAAATCTTTACTACACACGCCAAAGCTTTAATATCTAAAACCAACACAAGAAAAATCTTAGCTAACATGAAAGTTGTCAGATCAGGGACTGTGGAACTACTTGCACCTTGTGAACTGATGCTTCTTTTACTGAAAAAGTCACCTCTGTTCCGACTGAGAACACCTCGAGTATGTGCAAAAAGTAAACAGCAAATAAAAAGAGGTCATAGGGCAACGAATGCCCAGTGAAGCTCTGGTTATGCCTTCAAGAAAGAGTGAGGTAATGTTTAACCCGAAGAATAAATATTTGCTTGGAAAAAGAGAGGAAGAAGGACAAGGACACAGGAAATATCCTGTGAGTGTGTGCATGCGTGCTTTACCAATTCTGACATGCTTTAGTGAGA